CAGTAGCAGCAGTAGCAGCAGCAGTAGTAGTAGTAGTAAGTAGTAGTAGTAGTAAAGAAAATGAGTAGCCAATGATTGGAATCTGTAGCCCGCGCTCTAGAGCTGTTTTGACATACCACATGACATGTATGTCTGCATTCGGTTTCAATTGCGATGTTCTTAATAAAGAAACAACGCCGCCGTAGCTGTTACAACAACAAGTCAAAAAAGAGCACACTGCAAAACAACTATTGACCCGGTATCCTCTAATTCCTCTCACGTCTAAATTTTATCTAGACTTCATCTCATTTTAGATTCCTAATTCCTGTCGTATACACAATACACATTTTTTATCTTGGAAATTTATTTTGAACACAATGCAGTAGAATCTAATCTAGATCTATGATCTAGTATTAGTTCTAGTAGGCTACGGCACGCAATTGCTTTACAAGGTAGACGCTTTGCGAAATTGAAAATTAAGACTAGGCCTGGATATAATAATATATTTTATTTAATTAACTTAATACTGGTTTCAAAACATAAAATAAAACGGATTTCAAACTCCATGAGTAGCGATTGTATCATTGTAACTTTGAACTTCAAGACTAACTATTAACTTTATCAAGGGTGAAGAGGTTATAACTTACCAACTAAGAAGGACGGAACTTCTGATGACCAGTTTTGTTTTAAATCTCGAACTTCATCTGGATGACTGTATCACATTTTAAAAAGTTAAACCGTAATTTTTATTTACAGCGGGAGAGCATTGGAATCCTATGAATTATGAAAGCTATGTTTAAAACAACACAACAATAATGAATAAATGTAGGCCGCAGTTGGTCTTATCACTTCAGTATTTATAGAAAGAAGGGCAGCGTTTGTGATGGGTCGTGTGAACTGATTATTATAAGAATCTTGAGATAACATTCGGTTATTTCGCAGTTATGGTACCGGCGTCTGTACTGTAGCGGTCAGGCGCTTTGCTGTCGCACTGAGGAGACCTGAGTTCGATTCCCGACTGGGGAGAAAATATTTATCGAGTTCTCGGTCTTTCTGTTCTGATGTTGTATCGCTCTCAGCCTGGATTGGCCCTGACAGGCAGGGTCGGAAGCTCGCCTCCTCATTTAAACAAAATAGCAGATGCGGTTCTGGAAAGACAACCTTGGAATGCAAAACTTATGCGATCATCGCTTAAATTCTTAAATACAGCAGTGGTCTTGCTCGAATTTAAGGACATAATGAACACTTGGGTGATTAGCAGACCAAAGGCACTGTTGTGACACTGAAAACGTTTTAGTAAGAGTCTTACGGCACTTGCAATACAGGTTGGGTAACGCGAAGAAGAAGAAGAAGAAGAAGAAGAAGAAGAAGAAGAAGAAGAAGAAGAAGA